GATTTTCGTGACCTCCGTTAATCCCAAAATTGTAAACACGAAAGAATCGACTAAGAAATGCTAAGGTAGTACTCAAGCAAAAAACAATCAACTTAAAAATAACTGCCATATTTATTGCCAGGGTAACAAAAGCAAATATCCGCACACAGAGAGTGCGAGATGACGCATGACGTCAGAAATATTACATTTTGTACATGTTATGCCAAAAATCAAAAGAGTAAAATTATTTCAAACAATGAAACTTGCTGGCGCTGTCTTTGATGTTAAAGGGGTTTAATGATTTATTATAATTCGATACTTACAGTATACTTCCGGTTTGGCGGCAGATGAAGTGGAACTGTCGACGCTGTTGTTAACCACACATCTGTATTGCCGGTTTTCACATGACGTCACTAAAATTCAAACTACAAAACTATTGATCCTCTTGACATCTTACTTCCATGATGTATAAGAGCAGCTGAAAACTAACATTCAGTTCATACAAATTTTTGCTCCGAATGGGTTCTTGGTTTTGTCATAGACTACGCTTGAATTTCTAAGCTTTTGCGTGACGCGGCATTTACGTGACGGCCAAGAGAGCTGTCATGTGGGTTAAAAATGTGACTTAATTCGGGTAATTTGGCTATCTGAACAGTTCTTGTATTAGAAAAAGTATTATTTTAATGTTGTTTAGTTCCTCGAGAGATAAATTCACGCTTTTGTAGCAAAACTCAGTGACAGATGTTTCTGTTGGTTTCCGGCCGCCATGTTGGTGCTCATCCGGATGGGCACCAGCACGGCGTCTCCATACAAATCTCTATAAATTTGGGTAAAAAGTTTCTCCGCATATCTTGCATAAGAAACATTGCTGTGACCTGAATCTTGGCGAGAGTCTTTGCATATTTCCTTTCTTTCTTTTCTCAGAATCTGGACTTTATCTATTGAACGGTTTTGATTTTTATTTTGATCTATTTTGAATGACGTGACACTGAAAATCAGCAATTGACCTGCGTCTGATCGGTTGACATCCGTAATTGTCAAATTATGATTATTGTTCGTGCGAGACACAGCTAGTCGTGAATTTGCTGCGACGTTCAACCCTTGTCCATTCTTCGTCCATGACACGCTAAGTGACGGGTTTCCTTCAACTACACAGCTAAAAACAACATTTTGTCCTTTCACTCTGGTAAGGCCTTCAGGATTCTTAGAAATCTCAGGTGCAACTGAAAGAGATAATGAAAATATAAGACATTGCTACGGCGAACAAACCTAAAAGTCTTAAAACAAAGGGCTAAACATTTATGACGAGCTAGCTTGACGAGCTTTTTAATACGTCCTTTAAAAAAAGAAATCATCTACTTTACTATGAAACCATGATTTAAAACGGAAACTAAGACAGTTTTTATGCCGTAAAGGGCTGTCTATCACTGTTTTAAGGCTGCAATTCGGATTTTAAGCTGATTGAAAATGCAAAGTTTTGTTTTAAAAAAAACAACCACATCGAGACACCTTAATGAAATGTTTCTTTACAAATCGCAACCTCGTTCTTAAGGCTTTTCCTTACTAGTGAAAAAAAAACCCTGGGAATGAGTTGTATAAATCATAAAAACAAGTAGACCGTTTTCGATATATTAAAATTCAACTTGGCAGTGAGGCTTAGAGGACACAAACAAAGGAAATTAAATGACCATGTTTATCCATTTCTTTTGTTTGTGTCCTCTAAGCCTCACTATCAAGCTGAGTGCCAAATCCGGCGAAAGGAAGAAAGTGCTTTTCAACTAAAACGACAGCGTTTTCCGGTTTTGATCAGTTACTTACACTGAACATCCACTGTGGATGCATTGGAGGTATCATTTCCAAGGTTGTTACTCGCCACACATCGGTATTCTCCGCTGTCTGTCCTGTTCACATTCGTTATATATTGTCAACTGCTTTTTGTCATCTGAAAAACGGATCCTAGAATTGATAGTTGTATTAACAGGAGATCCATTTCTGGTCCATGATATTGCTGGTACTGGATTTCCATCAGCTTTGCAAGATAAAGTTACGTTTTCTCCTTCTGGTTCAGCCTCTGGATGAACAATGATCTTAG